GCTTAAAACGATTCTGCAAGCGTGCAGGGTTGTTTCTGTGTTTCTAGAAATGCAAATATGCATATAGGATTCCAGGTAAGCAAATAAATGCATGCAGGTATATAAAGTAGGGTGTGTATGTAGAAAAACATGGTGCACATTTACTCGTGTTTACATTTCTGTGTGGGTATACTTACACGTGTCCGTACACGCACACACTGCACGTATTGTAGATAGACATTTTCACTTTTAGCGCTTCTTGGCTGAAAGGCAGCGGGCCACCAATCAGCGGGTGAGAGCAGGGCACGTGGCTTGAACAGCACGCGCCAATCAGAGAGGCACGGTGAGTAGAGCACTCCCTCCCCACCACAAAATGTCGGCCCGCAGTGTGTTGCACGTGGAGGGACTTCCTGTTTCCATGGACCACTGCATAAACTAAACGCATTGGCCGGTTTCAGCTGCGGGACACAGGCTGTCATTGTACGCATCTTTTTTGGAGCCGCCTACAGTGCTGAGTCTGACCCAGAGATTCAGCCGTTTGCCCCTTGCTTTTTCTGCTATATTGCTTAAAACGATTCTGCAAGGGTGCAGGGTTGTTTCTGTGTTTCTAGAAATGCAAATATGCATATAGGATTCCAGGTAAGCAAATAAATGCATGCAGGTATATAAAGTAGGGTGTGTATGTAGAAAAACATGGTGCACATTTACTCGTGTTTACATTTCTGTGTGGATATGCATTCATTTGTCCGTACATGCACACACACTGCACATATCGTAGATAGATATTTTCACTTTTAGCGCTTCTTGGCTGAAAGGCAGCGGGCCACCATTCAGCGGGCGAGCGCAGGGCACGTGGCTTGAACAGCACGCAGCCAATCAGAGAGGCACGGTGAGAAGAGCGCTGCCTCCCCACCACAAACTGTCGGCCCCCAGTGTATTGCACGGGGAGGGATTTCTTGATTCCATGGACCACTGCATAAGCTAGATACATGGGCCGGTTTGGGCTGCCAGTCACAAGAGCAGGCGTAAGTGGGAGTTTTTTGTTTGTGTGAGACTGTGCATCCCCGGCTGTTGTCAGCACTGTGGAGAAGAGCAGCAGCCTTGCAAGGCAAGATCTGAACAGGCTGTCATGGCACGCTTCTTTTCGGAGCCATAGAAAGTGGTGGGTCTTAGGCACAGATTCAGCCCTTTGCCTCTTGCTTTTTCAACGTTACTGCTTAAAACGATTCTGCAAGGGTGCGGTGTTGTTTCTGTGTTTTTAGAACTGCAAATATGCATATACGATTCCAGGTAAGTAAATAAATGTATACAGGTATATAAAATAGGGTGTCTGTGTAGAAAGCCATTGGGTATATTTTCTCCTATTTGCATTTTTTGTGGATATACATATATTTGTCTGTACACACAGACACTGCAAGTATCGTAGATAGGCATTTTCACATTTAGCGCTTCCCAGCCTCAATCAGCGAGCCACCAATCAGCGAGCGCGCGAAGGGCATGTGGTCAAATAGCATTCAGCCAATTAGAGGAGCATTGAGAGATGAGCGCTCCCTCCTCGCCACAAAATGTCGGCCATCAGGAAATGGTGGCCATCACAAAATGTCGGCCCCCAGTGTGTTGCACGTGGAGGGACTTCCTGTTTCCATGGACCACTGCATAAACTAAACGCATTGGCCGGTTTCAGCTGCGGGACACAGGCTGTCATTGCACGCATCTTTTTTGGAGCCGCCTACAGTGCTGAGTCTGACCCAGAGATTCAGCCGTTTGCCCCTTGCTTTTTCTGCTATATTGCTTAAAACGATTCTGCAAGCGTGCAGGGTTGTTTCTGTGTTTCTAGAAATGCAAATATGCATATAGGATTCCAGGTAAGCAAATAAATGCATGCAGGTATATAAAGTAGGGTGTGTATGTAGAAAAACATGGTGCACATTTACTCGTGTTTACATTTCTGTGTGGGTATACTTACACGTGTCCGTACACGCACACACTGCACGTATTGTAGATAGACATTTTCACTTTTAGCGCTTCTTGGCTGAAAGGCAGCGGGCCACCAATCAGCGGGTGAGAGCAGGGCACGTGGCTTGAACAGCACGCGCCAATCAGAGAGGCACGGTGAGTAGAGCACTCCCTCCCCACCACAAAATGTCGGCCCGCAGTGTGTTGCACGTGGAGGGACTTCCTGTTTCCATGGACCACTGCATAAACTAAACGCATTGGCCGGTTTCAGCTGCGGGACACAGGCTGTCATTGCACGCATCTTTTTTGGAGCCGCCTACAGTGCTGAGTCTGACCCAGAGATTCAGCCGTTTGCCCCTTGCTTTTTCTGCTATATTGCTTAAAACGATTCTGCAAGCGTGCAGGGTTGTTTCTGTGTTTCTAGAAATGCAAATATGCATATAGGATTCCAGGTAAGCAAATAAATGCATGCAGGTATATAAAGTAGGGTGTGTATGTAGAAAAACATGGTGCACATTTACTCGTGTTTACATTTCTGTGTGGATATGCATTCATTTGTCCGTACATGCACACACACTGCACGTATCGTAGATAGATATTTTCACTTTTAGCGCTTCTTGGCTGAAAGGCAGCGGGCCACCAATCAGCGGGCGAGCGCAGGGCACGTGGCTTGAACAGCACGCAGCCAATCAGAGAGGCACGGTGAGAAGAGCGCTGCCTCCCCACCACAAACTGTCGGCCCCCAGTGTATTGCACGGGGAGGGATTTCTTGATTCCATGGACCACTGCATAAGCTAGATACATGGGTCGGTTTGGGCTGCCAGTCACAAGAGCAGGCGTAAGTGGGAGTTTTTTGTTTGTGTGAGACTGTGCATCCCCGGCTGTTGTCAGCACTGTGGAGAAGAGCAGCAGCCTTGCAAGGCAAGATCTGAACAGGCTGTCATGGCACGCTTCTTTTCGGAGCCATAGAAAGTGGTGGGTCTTAGGCACAGATTCAGCCCTTTGCCTCTTGCTTTTTCAACGTTACTGCTTAAAACGATTCTGCAAGGGTGCGGTGTTGTTTCTGTGTTTTTAGAACTGCAAATATGCATATACGATTCCAGGTAAGTAAATAAATGTATACAGGTATATAAAATAGGGTGTCTGTGTAGAAAGCCATTGGGTATATTTTCTCCTATTTGCATTTTTTGTGGATATACATATATTTGTCTGTACACACAGACACTGCAAGTATCGTAGATAGGCATTTTCACATTTAGCGCTTCCCAGCCTCAATCAGCGAGCCACCAATCAGCGAGCGCGCGAAGGGCACGTGGTCAAATAGCATTCAGCCAATTAGAGGAGCATTGTGAGATGAGCGCTCCCTCCTCGCCACAAAATGTCGGCCATCAGGAAATGGTGGCCATCACAAAATGTCGGCCCCCAGTGTGTTGCACGTGGAGGGACTTCCTGTTTCCATGGACCACTGCATAAACTAAACGCATTGGCCGGTTTCAGCTGCGGGACACAGGCTGTCATTGCACGCATCTTTTTTGGAGCCGCCTACAGTGCTGAGTCTGACCCAGAGATTCAGCCGTTTGCCCCTTGCTTTTTCTGCTATATTGCTTAAAACGATTCTGCAAGGGTGCAGGGTTGTTTCTGTGTTTCTAGAAATGCAAATATGCATATAGGATTCCAGGTAAGCAAATAAATGCATGCAGGTATATAAAGTAGGGTGTGTATGTAGAAAAACATGGTGCACATTTACTCGTGTTTACATTTCTGTGTGGATATGCATTCATTTGTCCGTACATGCACACACACTGCACGTATCGTAGATAGATATTTTCACTTTTAGCGCTTCTTGGCTGAAAGGCAGCGGGCCACCAATCAGCGGGCGAGCGCAGGGCACGTGGCTTGAACAGCACGCAGCCAATCAGAGAGGCACGGTGAGAAGAGCGCTGCCTCCCCACCACAAACTGTCAGCCCCCAGTGTATTGCACGGGGAGGGATTTCTTGATTCCATGGACCACTGCATAAGCTAGATACATGGGCCGGTTTGGGCTGCCAGTCACAAGAGCAGGCGTAAGTGGGAGTTTTTTGTTTGTGTGAGACTGTGCATCCCCGGCTGTTGTCAGCACTGTGGAGAAGAGCAGCAGCCTTGCAAGGCAAGATCTGAACAGGCTGTCATGGCACGCTTCTTTTCAGAGCCATAGAAAGTGGTGGGTCTTAGGCACAGATTCAGCCCTTTGCCTCTTGCTTTTTCAACGTTACTGCTTAAAACGATTCTGCAAGGGTGCAGGGTTGTTTCTGTGTTTCTAGAAATGCAAATATGCATATAGGATTCCAGGTAAGCAAATAAATGCATGCAGGTATATAAAGTAGGGTGTGTATGTAGAAAAACATGGTGCACATTTACTCGTGTTTACATTTCTGTGTGGGTATACTTACACGTGTCCGTACACGCACACACTGCACGTATTGTAGATAGACATTTTCACTTTTAGCGCTTCTTGGCTGAAAGGCAGCGGGCCACCAATCAGCGGGCAAGAGCAGGGCACGTGGCTTGAACAGCACGCGCCAATCAGAGAGGCACGGTGAGTAGAGCACTCCCTCCCCACCACAAAATGTCGGCCCGCAGTGTGTTGCACGTGGAGGGACTTCCTGTTTCCATGGACCACTGCATAAACTAAACGCATTGGCCGGTTTCAGCTGCGGGACACAGGCTGTCATTGCACGCATCTTTTTTGGAGCCGCCTACAGTGCTGAGTCTGACCCAGAGATTCAGCCGTTTGCCCCTTGCTTTTTCTGCTATATTGCTTAAAACGATTCTGCAAGGGTGCAGGGTTGTTTCTGTGTTTCTAGAAATGCAAATATGCATATAGGATTCCAGGTAAGCAAATAAATGCATACAGGTATATAAAGTAGGGTGTGTATGTAGAAAAACATGGTGCACATTTACTCGTGTTTACATTTCTGTGTGGATATACATACACGTGTCCGTACACGCACACACAGCACGTATCGTAGATAGATATTTTCACATTTAGCGCTGCCCGGCTGAAAGGCAGCGGGCCACCAATCAGCGGGCGAGCGCAGGGCACATGGCTCGAACAGCACGCAGCCAATCAGAGAGGCACTGTGAAATGAGTGCTCCCTCCCTGGCACAAAATGTCAGCCCCCAGTGTGTTGCACGGGGAGGGATTTCTTGTTCCCATGGCCACTGCAGAATCTAGACACAGAGGCTGGTTTGGCCTGTTACTCACAATTGGAGGCCAAATTGGTAGGTTCTTGTTTCTCCGAGTAAGTGCATCCTCAGTGTCTGTTAGCTCTGTGGAGAAGCACATCAGCATTGCAAGAGAAGATGTGGCACAGGCTGTCATGGTACGCTTTGTTTTGTGAGCCATATGTAGTGATGCATCTTAGGCAAAATGCAGCTGTTTGCCCTTTGCTTTTTTGAGTTTATTGCTTAGCACATTAGTGCATATGGGACTGGTAGGTACAGTGCTCACCTGATTATTTTTAAAAGTTTTTTTTTTTTTTCATTGTCAGCTTGTTGTACCAGAGATAGGAGTGTGCTGTCCTGGCCCTTTGTTCCGTTACAGAGCTCTGCTACTGCCAGTGCACCTACGCAGTGAGGATCCAACAGCAGAAGAGCACTCTTTTGTCAGCATCTGGTGGCTGTGAGGAAGATGGTGCACCGTGCAATTAGCTCCAGTAGAGAAATCCTGGTGAGGGAGTATCTGTCCCTCTGGCTTTATCCAAGAGGCAGCGTTCTCAGGAGAGATACTGTGGACCTCATGAAATGGGTGATTTAGTTGTTTTCCTCCTGGCACACACTTTTGACAGGCATGGCCTTCAGGTTAGTTGCAAGCACAAAAGTGGAAGGAGCCAAGGGTAGGAGATTTGTCGCTTCTTTTGGACGAACACTCTAGGAGACAACCCACAACCAGGAATAAGAAAGTTAGATCTGGTCCTTTGCATGAATCTTTGTGGTCTTCTGGAAATCCTTCAAATTACTCCTCAGTTCCAGAAGCCTCCAGGTTTTTCTGTGTTTCCAGGAAACACCCTCAGGCGTGGGCTAAGACTGAGACATATCTAAATACTGTCGTTGGGCTAAGAAGGTTCTTTGACAGTTTCCTGCCACTGAGTTTTCCAAAAGTCTGGCTGTTTTATATTTTTTCCCTCCTAGTTTTAAGCAGTCTTTGCAGTACAGTCATCCCAGGGGAATGGTTTTACATTAAAAGGGGGCAGATTTAGATTTGAGGCTAGGAGGAAATTCTTCCCTCAGAGGCTGTTGAGGCACTGGGATAGGTTGCCCGGGGAGGTTGTGGATGCTCCACCCCTGGAGGTATCCAAGACCAGGGTGGATGAGGCCCTGGGAAACCTGATCTAGTGGGTGGCTGACCTGCCTATGGCAGGGGGATTGGAACAAGATGATCTTTGAGGTCCCTTCCAACCCGAGCCACTCTATGGTTCTATGATTCTATGATTAACTGAATGACCCCAAAGCACTGAGGATCTCTGTTTTTACTGCTGTACTTCAGTGCACAAATGGAGCCTCTCTTAGGTAAATACTAGCAACACTTCCCTCTGGGTGAGGTACTTGACAAGGCAGGGGAACAGTTTTTAATCATGCAGATTTCCATGAATTCTGGCCTCCTAAATTTCAGTAGTGGAGCCAGCTGTAGGCTGACATGCTCCTGGCAGAGCCATTCTCCTTCTTAGATCTTACCTCTTGAGCTCAAACTTCTTTTTGTTACTTAGCTTCTTTAGACTAGCTTTCAAAAGCTACAGCTTATGAGTGTATCCTTTGATTACTCAGTTTAGACAAGCATATACCAATTTCATTTTGTTCATACTGCTTTTTGACATATGAAAACAAACTTTATTATGCTAAATAACAGAGGACCAGGGAACAAAATGGCTATTTCAGACATCATCTTGTAATTATAGATTAACTTGAAGGAGAAGAGAAGGTGGTCTCTTTTAGGTGTAGTTAGCATAGCCAGGCATATTTTTACATGTTAGTAAAAAAAATAATAATAATTTGTGAAAGTCTTTCAACAGAAGAAAGAGACTGTGGCACGTAGGTATGACAAAGAACTTGTTCCTACCTATAGAAATCAAAGTAAAAATTCATCTGGAAGAAGTCTCAGATATTGGAAAATTTTTAAAGAGTAATCATAGAATCATAGAATACCTTGAGTTAGAAGGACCCACAAGAATTCACACAGGACCACCCAACAACCAGACCCAATGTCTGAGAATGCTGTCCAAATGCTCCTTGAACTCCATCAGACTCAGTGCCATGACCATGCCTTGGGGAGCCTGTTCCAGTGCCTGACCACCCTCTCGGTGAAGAATCTTTTCCTAACACCCAGCCTGAACCTCCCCTGTCAAAGCTCCATGCCATTCCCTCGGGTCCTGTCACTGTCCCCAGAGAGCAGAGATCAGCGCCTGCCCCACTGTTCCCTCTTGGCTGGAAACCGGAGGCTACGATGAGGTCTCCCCTCAGCCTTCTCTGTTCTAGGCTGAACAAACCAAGTGACTTCAACAGCTCCTCATATATCTTTCCCTCTGCACCCTTCATCATCTGCACAGGCATCCTTTGGACATTCTCTAACAGGTTTGAGTCCTTCTTAGATTGTGGTGCCCAAAGCCACACATGATACTCAAGCGGAGTCTGCACAATCACTGATTAGAGTGGCACAAGCCCTTCCCGCAACATTCTGATTGTGAATTCTGATGGTGAATCTGGGTGGCAACATCGCCAGTTGTCTGCTTGCATTACCATAAAATCCCACAACAGGAATTTATCTAGTATATTTATAAGGAATAAATGTTATTGAATAAGGGAAAGAAATCTTTAAATACAGGTAAGCTTGCAATTCCGTATGTCAATTATGGGAATGTCTTCAGAAAAGGCAGGTAACAAGGCTATGTAATTACACTACTTACTATCTGTGGTAACTTTTTATGTATTTATTTATTTAGAATTCTTTTCACCCTGTCATTAAAAGAATATTGACTTGTGATCTTCAGCCAATGGTGTTTTTCTTTTTCTTTTTCTTTTTTCTTTTTTTTCCTCTTGATAAAGATCACATTATAATCCCTAATTCTGGTTGTATACAGGGATTCTGTTGTCTCAGCCCTAGGCACTCATTTATCCACTTAGCACTGTGGGTTCTGGCTTAGGACAGTGGTCAGTAGTGTAGAAGACAGTGATAAAATAAACAGTGTTACTATTAATATGGGATATTGATAAGCCTCCTTAAAATATTCTCTTTACCTGTCTGTCTACCTTTGAACTCAAGTCATTTCCCAGCCCTATAAAGTAAAAGGAACCATTTTCCTGACAGTATCACTAGATAGTTAGTTATTAGGGAACCAGATTGTGCAAAGCTGAGAAACTAAAAAGGCACCATTCTTTGTTTCTTGGTTTGGTCTTCATTTCTTAACATTCCCAGAAACATACAACTATTTGGGGGTGGAAAAGACCTTTAAGATTATTGTGTCCAACCAGTAACCCAGCACTCTCAGTCCACTGCTAAACCATATCCCTAAGTGCCACATCCCCACGTCTCTTACCTACCTTCAGGGATGGCAACTCTACCACCTCTGTGGGCAGCCTGTTCCAATGCCCAACCAACCTTCTCATGAATAAATTCTTACTGATAGGCAATCTAAACCTCTGTTGGGGCAACTTGATGCCATTGCCTTATCACTTGTCACCTGAGAAATGAGACTGACACACTCAGGAAGAAAAAAGGGTTAGTGCTCAGAGAAAGAATCAGTGTTATCATTAGTAAGGTAAAGTGAGAGAAAAGTTAGGAAAAAAAAGTTAGCTTGGGGGAGAAAGAAGAGATTGGAGACGTAAAAGAGGCGGTTGACGGGCTGTGCTCCTTCTCCTCTACCAAGACAGGGACTCCCTCTTGTTAAGCCTTGCGCCTTCAACTTTTTGTCAGGAATAGATTTGACTAGTGCTATGATCATATAAAGAGCTTGTGGGTAGAGATAAAGACAGTTTAATCGGACAGAAAAGGAAGAGAAATAATACTATGTACAAAGCAGGCGATGTACAATGCCCTTGCTCACCACCCACTGGCTAATGCCCAGCCTGTCCCTAAGCAGCGGTCCCTCTCCTACTCCAGCCCACTACCCCGTATAATTGTTCAGCATGACACCACATGGTATGGGATATCCCTTTGGCCAGTCTGGGTCAGATGTCCCGACTGAATCCCTTCCCAGCTTCTTGTGCGCTCCCAGCCTCCTCTTTGGTGGGGTGCTATGGGAAGCTGAAAAGTCCTTTGCTTAGCGTAAGCATTGCTTTGCAACAGCTAAAATGTCAGCATGCTATCAGCATTATTCTCATGCTAAATCCAAAACACAGCACCATACCAGCTACCAGGAGGACAATGAACCCTATCCTAGGTGAAACCGGGACAATACCAACCCCTTATTCCATACCATTTATGCTCAGGTCCCACACTTTCCAGTATTTTCCAATTAATCATCACTTCTCATATATGTATATAAAACGTCCACTGAGTTTGTTTAGTCTGTGAATGACTTTGGGCTATATCTGTCACAAAAATCTTTCAGTGCAGAAGAGATGGTGTGAGGTGTCGGATCACCATATGCTGAAGCTTGTTCTGATTCCATCACACAGCTGTGCTTGTCCAGTTTTATCAAAATTCATTCATCATTTATCTGGGTGACTGTTACTGTAATACCATGAACATGACATATAGCAATTATAGTAGTGATGGCCTATGGCATTATATAGTAATTAACATCATGGAATTCAAATCATGGGCTATTCTCACCCAACACTGAATTCCTTTGAGGAATACATCAGACTTCCCCATCCTTCCACACTGCCCACCAAGTACACCCAGGTCCTTGAGTAAACGCAGTCCCATGGATGGGCTTGCCTTTGCCTGAGCCAGGAATAGCCAAGACTGCCTGACCCTGAATGCTTTCTATGTGCACTAGGTGGACTTTATTGCCTTCTACATTATGTAGCAGGTTTGACTGGGGAGATCTGGCTTGCTTGGCAGAACCCCTAGTGTTGACTAAGCAGGTGGCCTTTGCCAAATGTGTATCCCAATTTTTGACTGTCCCAGCTCCCTCTACCTTCAGTGCACTCTTTAACAGACCATTATATGCTCGATTTTCCTGGAGACTGGTGCATGATAAAAGATGTCAAATAACCAAACAATACTGAGCACTTTGGTCCAGGTTTCTATGAGGTTACTCCCTTCCCTTCCCTTCCCTTCCCTTCCCTTCCCTTCCCTTCCCTTCCCTTCCCTTCCCTTCCCTTCCCTTCCTCCCTTCCCTTCCCTTCCCTTCCCTTCCCTTCCCTTCCCTTCCCTTCCCTTCCCTTCCCTTCCCTTCCCTTCCCTTCCCTTCCCTTCCCTTCCCTTCCCTTCCCTTCCCTGCCCTGCCCTGCCCTGCCCTGCCCTGCCCTGCCCTGCCCTGCCCTGCCCTGCCCTGCCCTGCCCTGCCCTGCCCTGCCCTGCCCTGCCCTGCCCTGCCCTGCCCTGCCCTTCCTTCTTTCCTTTCCTCTTTCCTTTCTCTCTTCTTCCATTCTCCCTTTCTCCCTTTCTTTCTTCCCCGCTTTTTTCCCTTCTCCCTGTCTTCCTCTCATACTCTCTGTCCTTCTCCCTCCCTCCCTTTCTCTCTTGCTTTCTTCCTTTCCTGCTTTGCTGCTTTACCTGATACTTTCAGTTACCAGAGATAAGAGTTTCATAATAGTCAAGACGGACGTAGTATTTCTGTGGGTGTTTGCAGGCTTTCTTCCTGTTCATAACTTGTACGGGGATCTACCTATTCAGAACTCGTAACATGGAATGACATGACGTTGCATCTGTTCACCTAGTCCTTGTCACGTTTCAGGTTTACAGAAAGCCTGCGGTTTATGTCTCTGAGCTGGTGGTAGGGCAGTGACTTGGTGTTACTGGGGAAAAGGAAACACAAACTGCAGATGAGGAGGCAATACTGTAACGGAATAGAATTTGCAGCAGGCAGCAGTCTCTCATCTAAAAGATTGTGTTAGTTTAACTGAGGAGAATGGGAAGCTGCATTATGTAGATTTTCTTCGATGTGTGTTTGTTGTTGTTTTCTTTGGTTTGTTATCTTTTGTTTTTGTGTGTTAGTTTAAAGGAAGTTGAAGCACACAGCTGTACTTTG